GGAAAATGCAAAGAAAACAAATAAAAAAAATTAAGAGAGTTCTATTAATTTTAGGTGGAGTATTTCTATTTACATCATAAATTGTAAATTTAATTAATAATGTTACATGTCCTCTTTATTTGAACAAATGGATACAATTAAACCATGTCAGACCTGATGTTGTTATAATCTAAAGTATAATAAACATGGTTGACGGCTATTGAGTATTCAACCAGATTTAGTGTTATTTGGTTTTAGTGGAGATCATGGCCAATTTTAGGAGGAAGTTGTTGGTCAAATTCAACAAGTGGGTGAGGTGATAGATAGGTGGCGAGTTTTGGAGAGGATTTTGACCAGTTTTGCTGCTAAGGTATCCAACTAACCCTTGAAATCTATCAAATTTTGCACAAATGGGAGTAGGTGATTATTATCTACCTTGAGATATATAAAAAAGAAAAATTCAAAACAAACAAAGGATGACCAGCCCAACATACAACTCATCAAATTTAACTTTTTAGTTTTATAACTATTGTTCACATAGTTCACATATCTTACTTTTAGCACAACTTTCAGTTAGATTTAGGTTAATTCTAACTACTGCAGCAATCTCTTTATTTATTTAGTGATTTTGACATAAGTGTCATTTCTCCAAATGTCAACTTATATGGCTTTCATGCTTCTCTTTCACATTCATGTTAATTTCAATTTTGTTTGCCTAAACATCATCATTTCATAACTTTACCCTAACTTCAAGCCCATTTACTTTCCAATTCTACAATGATTTAAATAAATTTGCCAATAGTTTGTTAGTTTATGTTTCATTCATTTTATTTTGAATCTTAAACTTTAAGTTTACAGTGGCATTTAAACTTTAAGTTTGCAGTGGTGTTCTAAAATCCTTAGAGTTATCTAAGTCTAATTAGTAACCCATTTTGTAGGGTTTGAGAAAGCACCCCTCTCTCCTACAAATCATCTAAAAGTGCAGAACTCAACTTTAAACTAACATTTTTTCAACTATCTTAACTAAGGTTAACCGCATAGAAGGAGAGATGGTTGTTGAGAAAATCCTACTTTCTTACTTTATGGTAAAGTAAGTGGCATGCTCACAATTCAAGTCTACAATTTGATTATGTGCTATTTTAGAATTTTCAAAGAAACAATTTCTAACATTTATTGAAAATTGTTTAACATTTTCTGAAAATTGTTTAACATTTTCCTTGACGATGGAGTAGTTTTAAGACTTGTTCAAATAATGTTTCGTCTAGTATGAGGATAGGAATAGAATATATATATATATATATATAAGCAAGGGATGTGTTAGCCCGTTGGAAGTTTGGTGGCTTTAGATTTGCATTCTAGACAGTTTCCAAGATCCAATGTTCTACAATTCTATGTATCTATAATTACACAGGTTGCACAAATGTGGCCACTATGGTTCGACAGGACTCTTTAATACAGGGAGAAAAGCATGGATATTCCCTTGGCAGAATATCCAAATCCACCCCCAAAGTATAGTGGTAGGGACGGATCCACCCTCGAACAAAAAACGGGGACAAATCCACCCACAAAGTTTTCGACTTAAACAAATTATCCCAAATTTAATGTGTGATGTCATTTGACATCAGCAATATGTTAATTTGACGTCATCTGACGTCAGCAATCCGTTAACGAATTAACAAATTGCTGATGTCAAATGACGTCACACGTTAAATTTGGGGTAATTTGTTCAAGTCGAAAACTTTGTGGGTGGATTTGTCCCCGTTTTTTGTTCGAGGGTGGATCTGTCCCTACCACTATACTTTGGGGGTGGATTTGGGTATTTTGCCTATTCCCTTCCATTCTACTCTTTTCTTACTTATTCTAGGGAAGAAAGATTTTAATTTCTAATGTAGCATACTTTTCCATTTTTGTAAGATTAAATTCAATGAAGGATTAAATAATTAATAAATTCAAGTGAGGCGTAAGAGCTTACATAGTCACAATGGTGACTTGAAAAATATCCTTTAAAATAGGACATTTGTTTACTAATTGAATCAACCAATAGCTCTTTTTTAACATAAGAGTAACTTCCAAAAAGGTCTCTGCACTTTGACCAGCCATTTTCTTGGTCTTTTTCTTTTTCTCGATTCGATCTCTAAGGGACTTTTAGAGCTATTATACTGATGTAAAGCCAAGCTATCTAACCTTGTTTGAATTCCCTAACGACTTTCTTGTTTCTTCCTTTCCACGCTCATTAGAGTGGTTGGATTCCCGCAGACGATAGACACTGATCACAACTTTAATGTTTCTTTCTATTAAGGGAGATTAATATTGTTTTTGAACTGAAGACAGAATAATTTAGGTTAAATCCTCGATTCAGTCCCTAAACTTTCATTTTTGTACTAAATTTACCCTCAAACTTCAAAAAATACTAAAAGAATCCCTGAACTTCAATTTTTGGGACCAATTTTGTCCTTCCATCAACGAAAGTGCCAGATGGCACGTTAAGTTGCCATGAAATCAATTCTTGTTTTAAATCTTTAATGACGTGGAAAATAACTTAACCCAACTTGTCATTTTTGTTGTCCATGTCATTTTAATTAATTTATACATTAAAAAATTTAAAATTCCTTAAATACCCCCATCTTCATCTTCCTACCCCCATCTTCATCTTCCAACCCCTCTTTTTCTCCCTTCTTGTCTCTCTCTATCCTCTGATGCCACTTCATCTTGCAACCCACCAAGCACCAATCATCCCTCATTGCTTTGGTCATCCCTTAGCATACCGATCAACACCTGATCACCAAAAGGAAAATGGAATCTGAATCACCAAACCTCTCCTTCTTCACCAAACCTCTCATTTCTCCCCAAACCTCCTCCCTAATGGAACCCAAATCTGGTTCTTCACATAATAATAATGACCAATAAATTTGATTTAAAAAATCAATTACACTACAAACTTATACCAAATCTATAAAGATTCAAAAAATCAATTATACTGTAAACTTATACCAAATCTGTAAGAAAAGGAAAATGCAAAAAACACAACATCCCTTCAATTAATACCAACAATAGCTAGATCTTGAAATTTAAGCAAGTAGAAGCCACACAAGAAACAGAAGAAAAAAAGAAGAAGAAAATGAGAAGGGGAAAAGAACCTGTGCCTAGGTTCCATCAAACCCAGGCACTAGGCTCGAAGGAACCCAGGCACCGGTTTCTTCAAACCCAGTAAGCAAGGGTAGGAGAAAGAGAAAGAGAAGGGAAAAAAAAAAGAAATAAATTTTTTATTTAATAATTATTTATTAAATTATATTTATATAATTTACTTTAAAATTTACCACATCATAACACTTTTATAATTAAAAAATGCCATATCACTTACTTTATTTCCACTTAATACTCAATATTAATAAAAATTGAATTTCTTAACGGAGAATTTTGCCACATCAATACTTAACTGACGGAAGGACGAAATTGATTTTAAAAATTAAAGTTCAGGGATTTTTTTATTACTTTTTGAAGTTTGAGGGTAAATTTAATTCAAAAATAAAAGTTCAGGGACTGAACCGAGAATTTAACCGAATAATTTGGTTGGAGTTAGCTTGACTTCGCCTCCATTTTAATCAACGTTAACCTCAAACCGAGCTTGAATACTTCATCTAGTCTAGTTGTTGTTGTTGTTGGTTTTTTTTTTTTTTTTTAACAGTTTATCTAGTCTAGTTTCAAGGCTTATAACCCAGCTAGATTAACATTGGATGGTAAAAATATTTGAGTCATAATCAACTTATACAAAGTCAAGATCCACTTACACTTGTGTATGTCTTACATAAATTACAAGTGGTTAATTTCAAACTTCAACAGTAAGAGTAATATCACAATGTGACTTTCATGTTTTGTGGGCTATACCAGACGACAAAAGAGCAACCATTAAATGGGTGAAGAGCCCCCAATATTAGGAGGTCTGCTTTCTATTCAATTATTTAAACTGCGCAATTTGAACTATACAACAATTTTTTTGTTACTAAGAAACCATTTTGGCATAACAATTTGAGACTATCAGTTAATGATTTTATTTAATTTGACAATTGCTAATTATTATTAGAGTTTATCTAACTTATACTCTAAGAATACAGGTTAAGAGTGCAATTATTGCACTTTTATAATATTAAATTGCACTCTTTTTATTTTAGTTATTATTAAAAAAATATAAAAACGACCATTAATTTCATCATTAGTGCCAAACAGTTACTTAAACAAAAATTAACTTTTATTTTTTCAATAGTAATTAATGAAAAAAAATATAATAATTACACTTTTAACTTATCCCTTAAAGCACAGATTAAAATAATACTTATTATTTTTAATAATTCATACATTCTTACTCATTGAATTAGACAAAATTCTAAATTGTTAGTTTCAAATTACTATAACAAACAACTTCTAAACGGAGTATAAATTGTTAAAATGTAAAATAACAGCAGATAATTTATGTAAAACTTGCAGCATCTAATGCTAACTCTAATATCATAAGCTTGAATACAAGTTCAGGTAGTGTTGGTCATCAGCTTTATTACTATGGCAATACAAAAGTAATGACAACTATTAAATTTTAGGTTAAAACCTCTTTTTGGTCCCTAAATTATTGTACGTACCCCTGATTTGGTCCCTAAACTAAAAAAATCTCTGATTTGATCCCTACTGTTTACCATTTTTACCCCGATTTGGTCTTTCCGTTAAAAATTGTGTGACGTGGCATGTTACTTAACCGTTACCAGATGACATGTCATATAGTAATATAAAAAGTGATGATGTGGAAAAAAAAATGATGATGTGGAAAAAAAATAATATAAAAAAATATTATGAAAAATAAAACTTAAATTTTTTTTTTCTTTTTTC